ACAGAACATTGTGATACTTGTATTTTATTATCAGTTACTGTTATCTCTTAAGTGTACCTAATTTATCAATTAAACCTTATTATCATAGGTATGTATGTATAGGAAAAAGCAGTGTGTGTGTATGCATTTGAAGTTCGGTACTATCTGGGCTTCAGGGGGCCTTGGAGTGTATCCCCCAAGGACAAGGGGGGACTACTGTACTGGGCATTGCAGTCATTGTCCTCTATAGTCATACAGACCTGGGGTTAAATCCTATCATGGTCTAACTGTAAAACTACACAAATTTTCCTCCTGGAGCCTCAGTTTTCATATAGGTAAAAAGGAGAGAAAACATACCTTCCTCACAGGATAGCTCTGAGGCTTATGTTCGCTAACGTATGCCTAGGGTTCAGTAAAAGCTGTCGTGTTCATTCTACTTACTTTCCAGGAAACATACCAAAACCATCGTTTCTTTCCTCAAGCCCTCTGCCCTTACCTTCAGTACGCTGTACGCTTTTTTTTGTTACCAAAAACTTTATGCTCTTTTTAAAATTTATTTTTTTGCCTGAAGCTATGACATTTGAATGTTACCAAAAACTTTAAATTCACCATTTATTGGAATGAATTTTGTTACATTAAACAACTTTTTAAAAACACATATTTTTAAAATTTCAATAGTTTTTAGGATACAAGTGGCTTTTGGTTACGTGTGAGTAGTGTAGTGGAGATGTTTAAGACTTTAGCGCGATAGTCACCCAAGTAGTATCCATTGTACCCGATGTGTAGTTTTTTCTCTCTTAATCCTCTCCCACCCTCCCCCTTCTGAGTCTCCAGTGTCCATTATACCACTCTGTATGCCTTTGTGTACCCACAGCTTAGCTTCACTTTCAAATGGGAATATACGGCATTTTGGTTTTCCATTCCTGAGTCACTTCACTTAGAATAATGGCCGCCAGCCCCATCCAAGCTTCTGCAAAAGACAGTATTTCAGGCTGGGCGCGGTGACTCATGCCTGTAATCCCAGCACTTTGGGAGGCTGAGGCAGGTGGATTGCCTGAGGTCAGGAGTTCCACATAGCCTGGCCGACATAGTGAAACTGCGTCTCTACTAAAAAAAAATTAGCTGCTTGTGGTGGCACATGCCTGCAATCCCAGCTACTTGGAAGGCTGAGGCAGGAGAATCGCTTGAACTCAGGAGTTGGAGGTTGCAGTGGGCCAAGATTGCACCTGTGCACTCCAGCCTGGGCAACAAGAGCAAAACTTTGTTTCAAAAAAAAAAAAAAAAAAGACAGTATTTTATTCTTTTTTAATGACTGAGTGGTATTCCATGGTGTATATATACCACCTTTTCTTTATCTATTTATTGGTTGGTTGATGGGCACTTTGGTTGGTTCCATATCTTTGCAATTGTGAATTGTGTTGTGATAAACATAGGCATGCAGGTATCTTTTTGATATGCAGTAGTGGAATTGCTAGATTGAATGGTAGATTTACTTTTAGTTCTTTGAGGATGCTCGACACTTTTCCACAAAGGTTGTACTAATGTACATTCCCACAAGCAGTGTATAAACATTTCCTTTTCACCACATCATTTTCGTTATTTTGATTCTTCTAATCCACGAACATGAGATATATTTCCATTTGTTTGGGTCATCTATGACTTATTTCAGCAGTGTTTTGTAGTTCTTTTGTCGAGATCTCTCACCTCCTTGGTTAAATATATTCCTATTTTATTTTTTTAATCAGATATTGTAAAAGGGATTGAGTTCTTCTAGGAAAGAACTCAATAGGGAAAAGACACCCTATTAATAGTTTAGGCATTGAATTCTTTTCTAAAACTCATCTCTAGCTCTCAAGGAACTAGAGATTCAAGAATAAACCAAACCCAAAGGTAACATAAGAAAAGTCTTTTCCTTGAGTTCTTGATTTGTTCTCAGCTTGATCATTGTTGCTGTATAGCAGTGGTACTGATTTGTGTACACTGATTTTGTAACCTGAGACTTCACTGAATTCATTTATCAAATCTAGGAGTCTTTTGGAGTTTTCTAGGTATACAGTCAGATCAATAGTAAACAGAGACAGTCTGACTTTCTCTTTTCCAATTTGGATACCCTTTATTTCTTTCTCTTGCCTGATGGATCTGGTTAGCACTTTTAGTACAACTGAGCTGAAGTAGAAGAGTATAATTGAGTACAGTTGAGTTGAGTAGAAGAAGTGAAAGTGGGCGTTCTTGTCTTGTTTCAGCTCTCAGGGGAAATGCTTTCAACTCTTCCCCATTCACTATGATGTTGGCTGTGGGTTTATCATATACGGCTTTATTTTTAAATTTTTATTATTATCTTTTTGAGATGGAGTTTTGCTCTTGTTGCCCAGGCTGGAGTGCAATGGTGCGATATCAGCTCACTACAACCTCCGCCTCCTTGGTTCAAGCAATTCTCCTGCCTTAGCATCCAGAGTAGCTGGGATTACATGCATGAACTACCACGCCTGGCTAATTTCGTATTTTTAGTAGAGATGGGGGGTTCTCCATGTTGGTCAGGCTGGTCTGGGACTCCCAACCTCTGGTGAGCTGCCCGCCTTGGCCTTCCAAAGTGCTAGGATTACAGGCATAAGCCACTGTGTCCAGCACATATATGGCATTTATTATTTTGCAATATGTTCCTTTTATGCCCAGTTTGTTGAGGGTTTTTATCATAAAGGAATGCTGGATTTTTTTTTTTTTTTAGATGAAGTCTCACTCTGTCACCAGGCTGGAGTTCAGTGGCATCATCTCAGCTCACTACAACCTCCACCTCTTGGGTTCAAGCAATTCTCCTGCCTCAGCCTCCTGAGTAGCTGGGATTACAGGCGCATGCCACTATGCCTGCCTAATTTTTGTGTTTTCAGTAGAGACAGGGTTTCACCATGTTGGCCAGGGTGGTCTCGGTTTCTTGACCTCGTGATCCACCTGCCTTGGCCTCCCAGAGTGCTGGGATTACAGTCATGAGCCACTACGCTGGCCAGGTGTTTTTCTGTATCTATTGAGATAATTGTATGGTTTTTGTTTTTAGTTCTGTTTATACAGTGAATCACGTTTATTGACCTGTATATATTGAACCATCCCAACATCCCTGGGATGAAACCCACTTAGTCATGGAGAATTATCTTTTTGATGTGCTATTAGATTCAGTTTGCTATATGTTGCTGAGGATTTTTGCATCTAGGTTCATCAGGGACATTTATCTATAGATTTCTTTTTTGTTATGTCCTTTCCTGGCTTCATAGAATGAGTTAGGGAGGATTCCTTCTTTCACAATCTTTTGGAATTGGTTCAGCAGGATTGGTACCAATTCTTCTTTGAATATCTGCTAGAATTTGGCTGTGAATCCTCTGGCCTGGGCTTTTGTTGTTGTTGTTTTTGCAATCTCACTGCTTGTTATTGGTCTGTTCAGGATTTCTATTTCTTTCTCATTTGAGGGGTTGTATAGTTCCAGGAATTTATTTATTGCCCCTAGGTTTTCTAGTTTGTGTGCGTAGAAGTGTTCATAGTAGTCTCAAATGATCTTTTGTATTTCTGTGGTGTTGGTTGTAATGTCTCCATTTTCATTTCTAATTGAACTTATTTGAATCATTTATCTTCTTGGTTAATCTAGCTAATGGAATATTGATTTTGTTTATCTTTTCAAGGGACCACTTTTTTGTTTCATTGATCTTTTGTATTTTTCTTTTAATTTCATTTAGTTCTGCTGTGATCTTTGCTGTCTCTTCTCTTCTATTAGCTTTGGGCTTGGCTTCTTCTTATAATTTTATTTATTTTTTGTTTTTTTGAGATGGAGTTTCACTCTGTTGCCCAGGCTGGAGTGCAATGGCGTGATCTCAATTCACCGCAACCACTACCACCTGGGTTCAAGAGCTTCTCCTGCCTCAGCCTCCCCAGTTGGGATTACAGGCATGTGCCACTATGCCTGGCTAATTTTGTATTTTTTTTTAAATTATACTTTAAGTTCTGGGGTGCAGGTTCAGAATGTGCAGGTTTGTTACACAGGTATACACATGCCATGGTGATTAGCTGCCTCCATCACCCCATCATTACATTAGGTATATCTCCCAATGCTATCCCTCCCCTAGCCACCAACCCTCCCGACAGACCCCGGTATGTGATATTCCCCTCCCCATGTCGATGTGTTCTCATTGTTCAGCTCCCGCCCATGAGTGAGAACACGTAATGTTTGGTTTTCTGTTCCTGTGTTAGTTTGCTGAGACTGATGGTTTCCAGCTTCATACATGTCCCTGCAAAGGACATTAACTCATCCTTTTTTATGGCTGCATAGTATTCCATAGTGTATATGTGCCACATCTTCTCTATCCAGTCTATCATTGATGGGCATTTGGGTTGGCTCCAAGTCTTTGCTATTGTGAACAGGGCCGCAGTAAACATATGTGTGCATGTGTCTTTATAACAGAATGATCTACAATCCTTTGAGCATATACCCAGTAATGGGATTGTTGGGTCAAATGAGCCACTGCATGTGGCCAAAAATTAAAAAATTTTAAAAAGAAAAAGTTTCAGGCTGGGCGAGGAGGAGGAGGAAAAAAAGAGTTTCAGGCTGATGGGGAGTCCTTGAGCACAGTTTCCCATTAGAGGAATCCTGCGTCTTACAGGAATGGGCCTTCCTAATATCTTGCTATGCTCAGTCATGGGCTAGGAGCAGCTCATTGGAAGTGTGGCCTTGGTGTCAACGCAGCAGTGGATTCAGAGCTCAGCAGCTGGAGTCTCCCTGAAGAAGGAGAGCTGAGAGGCTATTTTCACAGCCTTCATATTATTTTTAGGGCTGCATAATAATTAATTGATGGAAATATCATACTTTATTTATTCAGTCCCCTCCCAATGAACATTATTGTTATTTCTAGTCCTTTCCTATTACAAATAAGGCTTACTGAATAACTTTGTTTTACATCATCTTGCATATTTGGAGAGAGTACCACAACTTGGGGTCCTGGGGAAGCGGACTCTGAGACGGAGATGAATATATAATTGGTTTAACTTTATTAAAATACTGAGTTTTATTTCACATGTGTATTTTTGTCTCCCCATCATTTCCATGTCTGACCACTGCTATTACCATGTCCTATCATAACGTTCCATACATACTTAAAACCAAGCAAGGGGTGGAGTTCTATCTTTAAAAACTACAGGCATTTTGGACAACACATTCTTGGCAATGGAACGTGGACAACATTTATCAAACACGGTAGGGAAAGTTTTCACTCTGCATTATAAAAAGGACAGCCAGATATCAACTGTTATAGAAATGAAATAAGACGGAAAACTTTTAACAAATTGTTTAAACTATTTTCTTAAAGAGACTTCCTCTACTGCCAGAGATCTTAAATAGCCTCCTGGTCAGTCATTTGGAAGCAATTCTTCACATAATTGATGAACTTGGCTTCCACTTTGGGAAGAGAACCACCTTTTTCTATACTTTCTTGCACATTTGCTTTAATGTATTCTACGGAACTAGGTCCTTTTGGTGTTTTAGGAGTTTTTTCCTGTTTTTGTGAAGGATTCTTGTCCTTTTGATCATGGTGTTGATGATGGTTTTGAGTCTTTTCCATTCTGATTTGACTTTTGTGCATTTTTAGCTGGAGTATTGCATATAGATTTCTTCACTAGTACTTTTTCTTCAGTTTCCTCAACATCAAAATCATCATCATTATCTTCATCATCAACATCCTCATCTTCATCAGCAGCAAGTTTTACTTTTTTTTGTGGAACCTTGCTACCACCTCCAGGGGCAGACTGCTTTCCAGACATACTTAAGAGTTTCATGGCCGGGCGCGGTGGCTCACGCCTGTAATCCCAGCACTTTGGGAGGCCGAGGCG